CAAAACACGGGTTTTAACCATAAAAAAAAATGGACTAGTAGGTGTTCGAGTGCCATGTTGATGAGCACATGCAGGCGGGTTGAGACCGCCAAACAATTATTTTTCAAGTAATGTATTTTGGTGTGTGTGTGTTTGTGTGCGTGATAGCCATCCTATGATAGCCTATGCATAGCATCACATTTGCAGCTATGGCTCCTCTATCTATAAGTACCCCCAGGCCGGGTGTGCCGCCCGAAGATTTATCATGCGACCAACTCTGTAGGCTTTATATTGGGTTTGTTTCCGGTTTGTTCAGGGTTTGTTTAAGGTTTATTTTGGTTTTCATTTGGTTGTGTGTTTTTTAAACACGATTTGAAGAAGTTTTAACTTTCAAGGCATACTTAGGGTTTCATGTTAGATTTAATTAGGTTTTAGGATTTAGGGTTTAAGGTTTTGTGTAGTTTTGGAAACAAATCTCGTCAGCCAAGTTGCAAGTTGGCCGACATCCCAGAATGCATAAAACACTGGCCCTTCACAGTCAAAATGCACTTCCCCGGGCAGCACATTTGTCTGGCCGTACAATTACTAGGCCAGCTGTGAAGAACAGGGGTGCAATTTGACAATCAAATATGGCAATGTAATGATATGAAGATGTGGTAAACCCACCATTGACGACATTAATATGTATATATATATATATCCACTATGTGTTATCAATATGTCATATCTGACAATATATACCCAGTTTATACCATTTCTTAACAATATATATCTAGTGATGGTTTTAGTATTTCGGTTGGTTTCAATGACTTAGTTTCATCCTTCCTGGCTTGATGATCCCAAATGAGATCACTGAGCGAAGCCGCCATGTCCATGTTTCACTGACATCAAGTGTCAAGGCTTCAGGTTGGTCAAGCCATATGTTTCATGGTTTAATTGATGATCGATCCCCAGTTATCAATCCCCTAAGTCTGATAACATTGATAACATTGATAATATCCCCATTCATGAGCATTGTCAATATCAGTTGGTAATCAATTCACCTTATTGCACCTTCTGGTTGCATAAATATGACCACAAAGATGCTGTCGAAGTTGTTGGTGGGCAATGCGCGTCGACATGCTGTCCTTATTGATGGTATGAGGTCTGTGATTTGGTATGCATTGTTCATTTGCAAGTTCTATAAATTGGGATGCATTGTGTGCCATAAGCCCTGTTGCTGAAAGGCATGTCATAAACATAGCTATTGAAAATGGTCATAGACATTGCTCATTTGCCCACTATATATATAGCTATTAGTCGACCAGAGGTTCATTAATTGAAAGCAATTCCCAATGTTGTTTTCACCAAGGGGACTATTGGCTTCTGTTCGTCATCGGCCTCGGCGTAGTCATCGCTGTGGTGGCTCTGTATCAATTCCTCATCATGGAGCGAGGTGACTCACCGCGAAAGTGTACGACGCGTACGCCGCGTACCCGGTGTCATCAAACATGGCCGGTAAGTCCCCGAAGTAAATTGAGTCACTGGCCTATGTAGGGGGAATATCCCGAGAAAATATGGCCTTATAATGCCTTGTATGGTACAGTACCTCCATTTTAGGATCCTGAAATTCCCATTGATTGAGGTTTATAGCTGGAACAATCATCTGGGGGATGTTCCAGTCGGGCATGTTTGATTAGTTGAGCTGGTCAACTGGAGAGGAAAAAAACGCCATGCGCGAAGAGTTTCTTTGACATACTCTTTTGGATTGGATTCGGTTGCAATTATATGATATTACATGTATAATTATGTAGATGGAATTGCCATGTCTTCCGTCCACATTTTAAGTTTGTAGCACGGGATCAACAAACCAGCAAGGAAAAAAACTAAGTCAATTGGTGAAGAAGTGCAGACACACACACATATATATATATTTATATATATCAGACATAATAAAATCACTTGATCTTCATGATCACAAATTTTGGTTTCATATTGATCTCACAACAACCAAAGCTACTCAAAACGGTGCAAAAAGTCGGACGTGTCACGTCAGCATAGTTAGTGTTAGAGATATTCACCCCTCTGTTGGTTAGATGGGCTTACCCGTTATCTGTTGGGTTTTTTCCGGTAAACCCCCGATGTCTACCCCCAAAAGTACTGATTGACATTTATGATGTGACGTATCTTGTCGTATTTGTTTGTTAAATCATGGCTTGACGTATATCTTTTTGAGGACAATGGTGAGGCAAAGCAGTGAATGAGATTTGGGGTACCCAGACTGCCAGACATTTATGGAAAATTCCATGGGAAATTGCATTTTTTTTGGTGATGGTTACTGGCAGTAACTGGTTGGTGGTTTGGAACAAGAATGTTATGACTTTCTATATATTGGGAATGTTATCATCCCAACTGACGAACTCATATTTTTCAGAGAGGTGGCTCAACCACCAATCAGATCATATAGTATATATAGTTTCTGTATGTCTCTGTGTAAATGCGTGTTTTTTGCTCAAATGGGCCATGATCAATAGTTGATTTTTTCATAAAGGATGCTCATCCAGCTATGCAAACGGTCTTGCATCTTGCATGGTGGGATGACCCCCTTTGAGGTAAACAACCCACACAGTTCCTCATCGTGATCTTGGGATTGACGCAGCTTGGACGTCACCCTCTTTGCATGCCATTCTCCCGAATTCTCGCAACTTCTCGTTCACCTAGACGGTATCACCCCAGCATACGGAATTCCACAATTCTTGACTGGTGACGTTTGGTGACATTTGGTGACATGTGGTGACATTTGGTGACATGCAAAGTTTCCCAATATGTATATATATAATATATATATATAGTATGATATAATTATGTAAAGCACCGTGGTTGGTCACATCATGGTTTACTCTTCTACCCTTACAAGTCTTGGATGTTTTTTGAGCTGTACTGTAGCCATTTGGCCATTGGTTACGTCCCCATTTCCAAAGGTGATTGTGGGAAGTGATGGCCTTTGCAGGGACATTATGAAGCTTTATGGAGATCTCTGAGATACCGTTTGTACACATTTGTTTGGCAAGTGAATTGGTTTCTGTTCTGCCAAAATAGTGCCACATCGACTTTCCAGCAAACAATTACGGTTTCTTTTCAGAATACCTAAATTACTGCAATGTCAAACCCAGATTCATAAACCCTGGTTGATGAGGGGTGCTGCTACAATGGTTCCAATCAAACAGTCCAGGGCTTAACTTTCGTTGAAATTCGTATCCATTTGGTGGAGTCTCCGGCTCCCATTTGTTGGTCATGAACCATCCCTATTTGATGTGTTTTTTTAGGCCAGGGCCATGCCCTGGAAAATCCCAGGCAGATGTTGACACTGTTTCAGATGTTGGCGGTGGTGGGACGTTTCGAAATCAATTGGCGGGAGCCCTTCTCTTCGATGTTGGAAGCTTGCCTCTGCTCATAGCGATGTAAATGGATGTTCATTTGAGCGACGGAATTATGGGAGTCGTGGACCTAAATGGCGCCACAGTTATGTTGGGGTTATATCCCAACTTATGGGGGTTTATACATGTAATTATTTACTATGGATATAGCCTTGTATAACCTTAACTGCACCTCCAAGTAGTGATTGGGACTACCCACTTCGGACACATGATCACATGATCCAGGGTTGTTATATAACTCTTATAGAACCACTTGCTAAGTGGGATGATCACCAGTTTCAGACACACCCACATAATCTACCATATCCATCCATCCATTCAGATCCAGGGTTCTGTTGGATGTGTGTTGGGTATGACTGGGCGGTTGGCTTTGCGAAATTGTAATATAATCCCTTTAATGGTTATCCATCAACGGCTACAATGGCTACAAAGTCACGTTGAGTATTGGATCTATTGGGTACCTCTAGGGACTGGCAGGGACTGCCGTGGTAGCATTAATCAAAATGCTTGACATATGTTACATATGTTACATGTTTGACATTGTTCTGTCACCTTGAAGACTTGAAGCCACTAAAATGAAGAATCCCTCGAACAGGTTTTCTCAAATCCCATGCCAGTGCTTTCTCAGGGGGCATGAACATAGTTGGTACCAACAGGGCGAATGAACCAATGCATTTCATGGGCGTGTGAGTGCAAGTGAGGTGCTTTTCACCATTGCCTTGCTTTAAAAACCTAAAAATCAATGAGTGGCATATGGCTTGGATACCATTGGAATACCATTGGAATACAATTGGAATACCCAAACAATCTTCAATTGGGTCTTGTGACATTTGGCTTGCATTTCCTGATGTAAGAGAGACTCATTCATAGAATACCAGGGATTTTGCGGTGTCCGATTACCAATCAAATGTTTCCGCAACCTCATATCATACCAAGCCCGGATGTGTCAACGCCCACCTAAACAAAATCCAGCCCAGCCAATCACCATTGGTTGGGGTGAAGTCCCACATTTGGGCGAAATCATCCCCCAGTCATCACCATTCCCAGTCATGGGCGGTAAAAGTCATGGGCGGTAAAAATGGCATTGTTTTACCCACATTCATACTTCTAGATACCCTCTGGTAAACTAACAAAACTATGGGACATCACCATGTTCAGTGGGTAAATCAACTATTTCGAGCTGGCCATGTTCTCCACAACCCACATTCCGGGAAAACCATCCTAGGTGATCATGGACATCATCAGCTTTGACTTGGAGATGCTCAACTTCGGCTGCGCAGCCTCGATGGGTCCTGTCGTCACCTTCTTGTCGCTCGGCGGAGGGGCGCAACCAAGATCTGCCAACAGAATGGAGGAAACGTCGTAATTTCAAACAATAACCAATTTAAACCAATATATACATATGCAGGTAGCAATGGCAGCGCCCTTCCTATTTGTTTCTGGCAACAGGGGGGCCTGAGCCCAGATGTACCGAATGTGAGTACTTTGGGATAATAGAGTTCGTGTTAAACTCGCATGCCCCGGACTCCCCCTAGTGAGAACCTGACCGAGTAGAGGATCCAAAAAGAAACCAAAACGCCACGCCGACATGTTACCCCCTTAGATTCACTCCAGCACATTTAAGCCATTTCGAATCCTACGTTTTCCCGAAAACATGTTGACATCATGAACAATTCTCCAGTGTTGTCCCAACTGAATAAACTTGCTCATTTGGATATCCTCATCTTTCTTGGTCAAGGTATTGGCCAACATCGCTTGTGAGCTGACCCACCTCACTTTGAGTCCCGTCCTGTTTTGTGATTCTTTCACAGTCAGCATTTCTAAGTCGACCCTCCTTTCTTTACCTTTTGGGGTGATATAAGGCTTGTCCAAGTGGTCATAGGCATTTCGTGAGTCCGTGATCATGACCCCACCAACCTTAGCCACATGTGTGTCAATATCATGAAGGTCCGGCATGTGTCCCATGATTTCTGACCACTGAAACCGCAACAAATACAAGATGTCCTCGCCGTCCACCATCGCTCTTGCTTCTGCCGATCCCGGTGACCTACAGACCCTGTCTATTTTACCACTTTGCCAAAACCAAGGAGAAACACGATCAACTTCACCCATTTCCAACCGTTTTCCAGACATACCAATAAAGATACCTTTCGTACTACTTCCATCATGTCTGTTTTGAGAACTGGCATCCGTCCAACAGAAAATCTCAGGTTGTTCAGAAACATCAAAAGGAAAGATTCTCATGGGTTCTTTGGAAACTGATTTCATTTTGTGAAAAAGGCTGTTAACATCCAACAAAGTTTGAACAGTACTTCTTGACACTTCCGAAAGGTACAAACTCACATAAGCCGAAAACCGATAACCAACTTGACTGGTGTGCCAACTGAGTGCTCCCAACAAACCCCTCAGTTCTGTTTTTTCCTTTTCCGTGGTCTCCTCTTTGGGATACCGTTTTCTGTCTCTTGAAATTTGTATTTCTTGAACTTCCTCCAAGTAATTCACTTGGTCTAGGATATATCCACCAGTTTTCTCTTCTTGAATTCTCACACCACACTGAACAAAGTCTCCTTGTTCCCATTCTTGCCATTGGAATCTCTTCTTGATCCCTTGTTTGATGTCTTGCCATTTTTGGCTGTCTTCCCGACCAGTAAAAAGAAAATCATCTACATGTCCAGATATCAGTGCGATAGTTTCTCCATTTTCAGTCAACTTCCAAAAACAAGGGTCCGAGTATAGTTGAGTAAAGCCAACAGATCTTAGATAGTCATTCATGGTTTCAAACCATTCAATCGGGGCCTCCACCAAGCCGTAGCAGGCCTTCTTCATCTTGACGATGGATTGGCGTTGTAGTCCCATCGCCTCACAGATCTCATCCGTTGGTATCAAAAACAGTTCTCTTGCAAATTCTCGACCTTGTAAAAAAGCTGCTGAAACATCACCCTTTTGTACCAGTGCTTTGTTGTTAGCTGCCCACTGTAAAAACAGTTGTCTACTATGCCGAGTCATTGTTGGTGCAAACGTTGGTCTGTTGGCATAGTCTGGATCCATGTACCCCAGCACAACTGCTCGGGCTTTGGGCTTAACACCTCCGTCGTCTTTCTTTTTCCATGTCAGAACCCATCGCATTTTGAGAGCTTGTTGTCGGTTTGGTCGTAGACCTTCAGGAATTGCCTCAAGGGCCTTTGCCGCAATAAAACGATCTACCTCAATACTTTTTGCTCCTTTGAATTGTTCATGTTCTTCTTGACTCAAATGACGTTCAGAAACTTCGATGCTCCTTCTCTTCAGAGCGCTGATGAAATAGGACTCGCTGTCCCTGAAAAATCTCTTCCATGACCGTTGATTGTGTGGCATGTCAAACTCGACTTCCACACAGGCTTTTTCATCATTCCAAAAAACTGTTGAGTCAGTGTGTGTCCAAAAGCTTTCTTCAACTTCTTCTATCCAGGGAGCGCCAGTGAACATTTGGATACCACCCTTCTTTGGACTTCGACTTCTAGCTGCCCTCGTCAATCTTGGCATGTCAGTGTTGACTCCCTCGGTGTTCCATTTAGGAAACTCCTGAAGTAGGTCTTTGTCGCTGTCAAAGTCTGTCTCCATGTTGTCAGGTGGTGCCTGATGGTGTGGTGGCAGTTTGTCACTGTATCTTTTCCTGCCTGTCGGATGATCTTCGATCTCTTGTGGCTCAACTGACGACCTCTTCGCAGCTGAAGGGCCCTTCGCAGTGTGGTCCCAATATTCTCCTTTCTTCAGTTCTTGTGTGATGTTGGTGAAGGTCCATGGCAATCGTGGTGGAGAGTTTATCTCATGTAGGCACTGTTCTCTCACGGATGCGGGTCTAATTTGTTCCGCCGCAACTTTCACCAGTTTAGTTCCCCTCACCAGCCAGATCACACTTGTAGGATGTAGGTTGTTGTCCTCATCTCGCTTAGTCTCAGTTGCTAAAACACGAGCAGGTCCCACATAGTTCCCTCTTGTCCAGGAATTCAATTTGTCAGAGTTTGAGTTCTGCACTCTCCAATAAAAAACGAGGTCGCCTGGAAGGATTGTTTTTGGAGTGCGGTGTTTTGAGTTTCTTGCCCTTGTCAATTTCTCTTGTAATTGCCAGTCTATAAAGACCTTCTCCGCCTGGTTTCTCAAACTTTGTGCTACCTCCACTTCTCCTTCTGGGTCTTGCAGTAATTCCATAGGCAGGTCATGTAGTCTTTCAGAAAAAACTCTTCCATCACTGTCAGGACACCTACCCAGAGCATGCTGATACGGGCTGTATCCCCGTACCTGTTCAAGTTGATTCCAAACATATGTTGCATGTGGCAGCAAACTATGGATATCTAGTTCATCATCAAGAGACATTTTCGTCAGGAGTTCTTTGATCCATGCTATGCTTCGTTCCACATGTGAAAGGTTCCAGTGTGCTTCTGCAGGAATGGTGTCCGGAAAAACGCCCTGCTGGTCGAAATACTGACGAATCTCATGTGACCTGAGAGCGCCTTCGGGGTCCAGTCTCACCACATCAGGGATTCCAAAATATGGTTTCCATTTTTCTTCAAAAATCTTGGTGTAATCCGTGGCCTTGACCCCTTTTCCCTCAACTTTGACCAGGTGAGTGACCATAAACCGACTTGCTTCATCCAAAAGAACTACAAACTGAATTTGTTGTCGGGTTTTAGGATGCCGCCAAAAACCAGCATCCATTTGAACACTCCTCCAACGGGCCACATTGACATTCAAGGTGGCTTGCAGTCGTGGGTCTGGTCGTTTTCTCTCTTCACATGAACTACATCTAAACTGATTGGCAAGTTCGAGAACCTCAGGGTGTACCTTCTTACTCTTAAGGGCTTGAACCAAAACGTGTTTACTGCCATGACCAGTGGAAGCATGAATGAGAGAGATATCCCGTTGCGCTTTGCGACGCTCCTCTGGCGTCAGGGGTCTGTGTTTTTGTTCCTCAGTCATGAAAATCACACCATGTTGGTCTTTCATACAATTGAAACAAGTAAGTTCACGATTCCAATTTTTGATCATGCGACACTCACACTTGGCAGCATGTTTGGGTTCTTGTGGATGTCTCGTGTCCATGTCATCATGTTCATGATCATGTTCCGTGTCATGTGTGTGGCTGACCGGCTGGGACCCTCTGGATGTGTGGTACATATCATGTTCATGACCCTCATCCCCAAACCAACATTTGAGATTTTCAGGGTTACCCAAACACTTCATATGTCGAACCACTCTACGAACCATTTCGGGGGTATAGAAAGCGGTAGTTCTCGTCATCGACCCTTCGCATGGTGCATGTTGGTACCCTGAACCACATTGACATGGAGCATGAATAGCTGACGCCAACTGATGATTCGTACATTCCAGTCTCCATTCCTTTCCCAAAAGTTTCTGGGTTTTGGGGTTCCTGAGGTTCACCTGACATCCCGCAATAATCGCAGTTTGGGTTTGATGTCTATTGCGCCACTTATCCATGGGTTCCCATTTCCAAGCTCTGCATCGCCGGCTCCATTCCCAGACCACATCACAACCCAAATGACGTGCCGCATCTGCAATCACGAGACCCCCAATGTGCTGTTTCCTAGCCTCATTCTGTTTTCGTTTCAACGTTTCGATTTGTTCGGGGTTTCTCTGATTACAGTTTTGCATGGGAGAAAACGCACCACACTCAGTAGATATCCAAACATAACGAGGTCTATGTTTTTCAATGAACTTGACACACCTACGGACACCTTCACCTGTTGACAAATCATGGTCATTCCAAATGGAGAGACGGGCTGCAGTCAGCCCTTGTTTTTGCACCTCTTCGGACAGCGCAGAGTCTTGAGAACAAGCAATCTCGACCAGAAAAAGTTTCTGATCTTGGCCATTTGAAATCAACGCCTCCCAGGCGTCAGGTATGATACATTTGCCACACTCATGAAGGGCCTGAGCTTTGGCATGGGTCAGGGTTCTCACTTCTGATTCTCCACTTTCACATATCCCTCGGTCGATGCCACACTGCGGGACTTGCGAGGGGCCTCGCGCATCTCCTCTTGCATCTCGGTCATGTTCTTGACCCATTGCTGCAGAGTTTCTTTCATCTCCTTGATGTCCGAAGCGTTGGACGCCTGAGAGCTCTTGCTCTTGGCGCTCTTCACTGGGCTGTTCGGTTCTGCCACTGGAATTTTCTTGGTGCGGTTCACGAACTGGTTCATCTCTCCCAGGGACTTCTCGCTCAGCATCTGTGCATGCTCTTGGTTGATCATTTCCTCTTTGACATCCATTCTGGTCACCCAATGCACCAACTGGCGAAGCTGCCACCCTGGGTTCTCGCTCCGGTCCACCTCCTCGATGGCCCACTTGATGTAGTCCGGTGAGGTGTGAGCAATCTCCTCGAAGGACATTCCGTTGCAACGACCCCCGTAGTGGTAGGTGGTCGAGGCTGTGCCGTTCTGAATGATCCACTGCTTGAGGTGGAGACGAAGGTCTCCCACACGGGCTTTCTCCCACAGTGGAATGCCACGTTCGAGGCACATCTCCTTGAGCTGGTCCAACTTGGCATGGTTGATGGTGGTCATCACATCTTGCTGACCCTTGGTCTCGCTGATGAGTCCGACCGCAATGCGGTTCTCGCGGACCAGGACTTTCAACTCGGCCACTGTGAACTCTTTGGGGTTCGTCACTGGGTGCCCAAAAGCTGCCAACTCTGCTAAGCACTCCGACTTGATCATGAGATAGTGTGGTTTCATCGCGTTGTTGCCCCAAGTGGTCACCTTGTTGGTCGCCATGATCACTGGAAAGAGATAGTGACCTAGGTGTTGTGAAGCTGACCGTTTTGGAACTTTCAAACGGCTGCGGGGACGGCGTGATCATGTGAATATGTTGAGAAACCACATGGCTCATGCTTCCCAAGTCTTGAACCCTACCGTTGGAAACCGTTTTATGCTGGTGTTTGACATGTACCTGAACCTCATGACCTTGTTGTTTAGGCTGGAGTGAATCTATGTCAGTAACACCGGGCAGGCCTGAAATCATTTGATCCCCACACTCAGGCGCAGGCTCACCTGAGCTGAGTCCGGTTTCCTATTCTACCAGCTGAGCCAGGCTGTGCACTGCCTGGGCTAAGGGCTTTCCCTTGGACATGAAATCTTCGGCTAATGGTATCAGCTGGTGTCCGGCTACGGACCTCTGAAGTGCAATCAATTTCTTGGGGTTGACATCACTGAAAATCGCCTGATCATTCCTGAAATCAACGATTGCACCTAGACGCCTCAAAGTGTCTACGGAGATCAAAACTGGGGCATTGCCCTGATCTAGCGCATGAATTTTCAGGCTCATGGGCTTCTCTTTGGTGGGCACCTTGAAGTAGCAGGTGGATACGCAGCGGCCACGATGACTATTCCCAAAACCAAAAGTGGGTTGTTCACTCAAGTCCACCTTGCTGATGCCTTGGTGGTCTTTCTCCTTGCACTTCTCTTTCAGACATTCCAGCGCTTTGATGGACGCCATAGTCTTGGTGGCTCCTCCATCGAGGACCCCATAGCCGGCCATCATAGCATCCTGAGTGCTCATGTGAGTGCCAGAGAAGCACACGGGATCTTCGCTGCACCATGTCTGGCCATAGATGAACTCAGAGTGTTCCACTTCTTCCGCTTCAAAGGTTTTCTGCTCTCCACCTGAGCTCTGAGATTTCTGGGGGCAATCCTTGGTGTCGTGGTTCTTGCCGCAGCGGGCGCACGGTCCACCACCCTTGGTGAAATTGCTGCCCTTGCCGCGGAAGCGGTCTCGATCATTGGACTTGCCTTTTCCTTTGCCAAAATGGCTGGAGTTGAAGAAGCGGCGGCCCATTCTGACCTCATGTTGTTTGGCCCTCGCTTCTCGCAAGGTCTGTCGACCCTGTTGGATTTGCATCCAGGCCGCCTCGGCATCAGCTTTGGCTTGCTGATAGAAGGCCATGTCCTCTTCAGACAATGTCTCAAAGAAGGCCTCGTCCTCATCGCCAAAGTTGATCTCGTCTTCCTGGTCCATCTCCTCGTCTCCATAGAGAGCATGCCTGGAGTCTCCATCTTTCCGACGGATCATGTCATCGGTGAAGTGGCTGCGAAGGGCTGACTCGACAGCCTGGAGACTAAAGTCGTTCTTCACCTCAGACTGGATCAGTGATCGCTCAAGGTGATCAATGTTCGCCTTCTCCAACAGCAGCCATCCTTTGATGACATCCGGTAGGATCTCCACGAAGTCCTCATCATCTTCTTCTGGATCTTCAGACAGGTCTTCATCATCCTCATCTGGTTGGTACTGGACTCCTCCAGGATACCAAGCATCTTGGTACCAGGCGGGATCCATCCAGCCTGTGGTCCAATACCACCAGTCATCATAATCATCCCAACGTTCTCCTTCTTCTGCATCTCCCTCTGGTGGCTCATCTGCTTCAGCGGGATCCTGGTCACCACTGATGCCTTCGGAGGCCAGGTCACTTGTGCCCCCCTGTCTACCTGACCTCTCTGATCTGGAGTCAGTGAGGGTCAGTGCAGAGGAACGGGAGGGTCGACGTTCTGAATGCCAATTGGTCTTGTGGTCCTTCTTCTTGAGCATTTTTCGTTCCTTCATGACTCTAGTCAAGGCCTTGCATGTCTTGGCATACTCCTCACGATGTCTCACGCAGAAAGCAGCCATGGACTCGCCTCGACGGCGCCGAAGGACTTTGAAGTATGCTCTCAACTGGTTGGCAATCTCGGGAAGGGCTGGTTCAGACATGCTGCTGCGCAAGCACCGCAACAGCTTGTCCACTCCATTGCTATGTGACAGCCATCCTTTTCTCTTGCTACTGATGGCTGCTTTCGCGGCTCCACTGAGCTCGGCCGCCAGCCTGGGCCCACAGAGGTAACGGTTTTCCCACTTAACCGTCTCCTCATAGAGCTGGGCTGACTTGCGATACTCAGTCCATGTCGCAGGGTTTCCATCCCATCCAGGAATGTTGTCCTTACCTTTGGTGACCGTCATGCGGTACTGATTGGGCTCTTCACGTGTCCGATACAGACACCACTGGATCCACTCCCGCGCACGCTCGGCTCTTGCGGGAGCCCCACCCAGTTCTCACGGAACTGAGCAGGGCTCCGCTACCATGCAGGTAGCAATGGCAGCGCCCTTCCTATTTGTTTCTGGCAACAGGGGGGCCTGAGCCCAGATGTACCGAATGTGAGTACTTTGGGATAATAGAGTTCGTGTTAAACTCGCATACATATATATATATAAATATTATATATATATATATATGTTTAACTTTAACAATGACGTAAATAGATATGTATAAATATGCTAATCAATGTAGCAACGCATGTTTCTCCATTTAAAATGGCTGTGGAACATAGCCTAGTCATCAATGATTTACCTCTTTTTCAGCGGTTATTTTCCATATGAAAAAAAACAGGTACCAGACGGTGAGGATTTGCAACGTAAAATATTCTATCTACATAGATTGTCAATACATGGTAGGTGATTGTTGTTAATTACAACTGCAATAATTTTCCATTGCCATGTTTCATTGCCTGAGGATACGCATTGTTTTTCCAATCCGAAAGAAATCCACATTGCTTAAGTGCGAGGCCTCCAAGATCACTGAGGCATTGATTAACAGGGCCTGCTGTGTTGAAGTCACAAGAATCCCTTACCACCAAGATTACACGCCCCCCAACCACAACCCTGGTTGAAGATTGGATCTGATCTATTCATGACTTGGCCTCAAACCCAACTGTGATCCAACTCATCGACCTGATCTCATGGTATTCCGGTTTTTGAATGTGGTTGTTTCCCTTTCGAAAGCCAAAGCATGGCTCTTTTTCAACGGCCCAAAAAGACAGGACCCGTTGCCTTTTCCTTCCCATGGTGGCATTGATAACGCTGCTGGTTCACTTGCTTTATACCCTGGTCACTGAGTCGCAGGCGACGGCAATTTCCGGTGATCGGGTATAATTTATAATATATATGAATATGCACCATATTATGTGCGCGAGTTATGTTTTGTACATAGAACATAAATACAATATAACTTCGTCAAGCATATCATATATATATATATATACACACACACTTTTTTTTGTTGTGTGTACTTAGGTTGCTGGAAGCCATGTTTCTTTTGCCTGAAACATGCCTGTTGTTCATGTTTGTTCCTACGCAGCCAAACGGCCCCTCAAAGGTCAATTCATTTTGGGGACCTACGCCACGGCATTTAGATTCCAGAAGCAGGATGTTCAAACCCATGGTATTTATATTTTTGGTGTCCTTATGTTCGGACAATGCTGTTTAGCTCTACACAATGGAAAATTCACGTGTTTGACAATGTTTTTTCCTGCCCTACTATGGACTGCCAAAGAAATTGGATGCATTGTCGAGATGTTTGGAGGCAATTTTACGACGTTTAATTAGTCATCAAAATGGGGGTGATGTAACCCGCACCACTTCATGGTGATATTATATCATGAGATATACACAATCACAAATATGGAGCTTTGGGTTTGTCCAAAAACTGCAATTTCCACTATAACAAAATGCTGGACCATGAAACTTGGTAGATTTGACTTAAACCCTGAAGTTGACAATATACCTAGCCCACCTCCTTTACCGCAATCCGTCTCTGAGGTGAAGCGTGAGAAAAGTTGGCACTGGAACCGCTTCCTCAGGACACTGGGAACCATTTCAATGGTGTTTTTCATCATCCTCTTCTCTTTGCCACTCAGCCAGCTGCCAGCTACCCATAGCTGTGTCAAACATGATCAAAGTCCCCGAAGAAAACGGAGGTGCATAGCTGGGACAATCATCTAATTATAAATGGGCGACTTTCCATAGCCAAAGATAGCTAAAGTATTGAAAGATATTGAAAAAAGGCAGATACAGGTGGTTCAGGGGGTTGGGGTCCCGATGTGAAGCAAAAGCAGCTGACATCCTCCGGTGCCAAAAAGATACATCACTCGGCATGGGACCCCATTGGGACATGATCCAAGGCGCGGTTCGGAATTCAGCACCCGTTTCGAAGGAATGATGCACAGTTGGTGGGGGGTCCCTACGTCATCACCATATACGAACCACTCCTCCGGTGATTTTTGGGCTGCCAGGGTTGCTTAGCAGCTTTACACCAAGGCTGCTGGCGCCATTCCAATGCCAAGAACATCCCAGTGGTTTCTGGACGATTCGCCGCTATGGCACGGTTTCTTGGTGCCCATTGGGCGCCTGAACACCATTGTACACCATGTGCACACATATGAATATGTATGAATATGTACAATATATATATATATATAACTCTATATATATATATATATACACATACCATTATATATAATTATATATATATTCTATATATGATTATATATATATATATTACATATTCATGTGTCATACGAATTTGTTGTATGTGACACGTCCTGTCAACATGTTGTGGTCTTTAGACTGAGGTCTTCTGTGATGGTACTGGAGAACAGGTGCATATGTTTATCGTGGGAGGCCACTGCCAGGGCATGCTGGAAGGGTTTGATGGTTGGCCATTTGAACTGATAGTTTGCAACGAGAAAAGTTCGTGAATACACCGGAGCATCACATACATTGTAAGGTTCACTACTGTAACTAGTAACTATGGTAATCTCGATGTGACTCACTACTGTTAGTAATTAAGAACATGGTAATCATTGTATACTCGTTATGTGCTTTTCATTTAATGCACAGATATCGGTGCTCGGGGTGCCATAGGATGAATTGACGTGGCGGTGCATGGATGTATCAACATCAACGGTGCAGTCTGTGCAATGATACAAAAGAATACATCATATACATAGGTCGTGTGTGTATATGACATGAGCATACATGCCTTACATTCAATGGATTGGATTAGGGGAAATTTACAGGAAAGCCCCATATTTAATGGGAAAATCTATGGTTTCCTGTAGATTTTCCCTTAAACCAATCCATTGATACATGTTTTCATGATTCTCTGCATTTGCTTCAGATATAGTAGGTTCCTTTGCGCATATGTTGCCAGATCTAGGGACCCCATTTTCCAGCCAACCCTTCCCCCATTTCCGTGACTTCTGGTTCCAGTCGTTCGGGATTTTATCTACAAAGCCATTTTTCCCCACCTGCTAGGTGAAGGTCTCTAGATCGCAACAAAGGTGCAGTGCAGCTCGCTACTTCTTCCCTTCCTTCCGTCCGTCCGTCCGTACTTCCTTCCTTTCGTCCTTCCCTCCTTTCCTCCTTCCCTCCTTCCCTCCTTATTTCCTTTCTTCCTTCCTTCCTTCCTTCCTTCCTGCCTGCCTGCCTGCCTGCCTGCCTGCCTTCCTTCCTTCCTTCCTTCCGTCCTTCCTTCCTTCCTTCCTTCCTTCCTTCCTCTCCTTCTTCCGCCTACTCCTCCTCCTTGTCCTCATCTCCGCCTTCTCTCTGCCTTCTCCTTTTGCAAGTTCGGGGTGACTGGGGAATCAATGGACCTGAGCTGGACAATCTCGATATAGCGTGCTGCAGATGCAGTGGACGGCGCCTGAACCCGAACTTAATGTCAAAATAAATGCCAGAAAGTAGTCCAAATAGATGCCAGATAGAATGCCAGGATGAATGTCAGATAGAACATCAGAGTATATGGGACAAAGTCCGTTCACTGAGGTTGTTTTTCTGAAATCATTCCTTGCTAGGGCTGCTTTGCCGCTACTACGCTAAATCAAAGCACGCGTGGTACAAAGCATCAAAGAAAAGAACGCTCAATTTGGTAACAAGGGGGCAAATCTGTGACCCAGACTCTCCACAGTTCCGTGCTGAGGTCTTCGAAAGGGAGATGTTGGTCAGGAAAAGAGTCCTAGAAAAATATTCTGCTTTGCGGGTTTCTAATAGGGGTGAAGCTGAAAGATTTTTGTCGTCTTCTCTCAAGGTTGACAATGACTTCGAGCTTGCTCTTCTTGATCCTATATCACTAAGCGCCTCACGAGATGTTGGAAGCGGTTTTACTTGACACAGTTGACAAGGCTTCTTCATCTACCCAGAGTCAGGACCCAGAAATTACCGCGGAACTGTCACGTCAAGTTTCATAATGCCATGCTACAATTTCTTTTCAACACGATTCGCTTTATAGGCGTGATGAATTAGACTTAGATGATGCCATAGGAAAGCTGACGTGAAACAAGAAGTGTCTGCCCGGATGTTTTGCAGCCACTGAGGTTCACAACGTGCATGCTCGTTCCTACTTGCTTTGTTCAATGAACTTGGCTAGACATTTTTGGTTTGACTTTTTCTCACTGGTCCTTAAGAGCTTATCCCCCTCTTTGGAAGGAAGAAAGGATCCAAAGTGGTTCGCAATGTTCGCAATGTGAAAAATCTGAGGCCGATCTCCCTGTGCGCGGATCTGGCACATGTCCAAGATGCATTGTGGATTGCCAGGAATAGAACATGTTTAGAGAACTAACTATGCTGGAAATTCTCAGGTCGGAGGGGTTGCTGACACTTTGTCCTTAGTGGTATGCCTGATTTTACATGCTGAATTAAGATTGTTTCAAGGACTTCCATGCCATGCTACTCGTGCTTCATGGACCTTAAAGCTGCGTTTGCGTTTGACAGTACTTTTTGGGGGCAGGAAACTCGCCGTGGCAGAGGCAGGTATTATATGGATTGACTAGCTTCTCTTGGACGACATCATGGATCAAGATTCCCAATGCGTTGCCATGCGCTCTCTCCTCTCTAGAGTCTAGAGTCTTTCGCCTTGGGTGTGGTACGGCACAAGGACAGAGGTTCAGTGTACATGTGTTTAGTGGGTTGCTCAGGTGGCTTATCAAGGGATTCAGGTTTCACTACCACACGGTACTAAAGCATGGTTTCCTCCAGCGACTGCCCGTGTCCTGGATCTAGCTGCTGATTGTTCCCCGCCTTCCCAGGGTGTTGAGATGCCAAGTAACCATTACACTTTGAAACCAGTGCAGGTATTATGTGAGAACCTCTGCTGTGCGAACCCTTCCCGTTGTCAGTTACAGAAT